ATTTGAGCTGTCTTTCATGGTATTCGTATTACTATAAGATTAGCTTTAGCATTTCAAAATATTCGCAAATCGAAATTCCGATCGCTTTTCTCAGAAGGTAGAAACTTTTCCTTTTGATTTTTTTCTTGGTGTTTTTGGATTCTTGTTATCAGGGTTAAGCATTTCTTCTTCTTTCTTTTTAGTTTCAGGTGAGAAAGAAAAAATTTCCTTCTCTATTTAATTTTTTTTTCAATTTTAAATTTTCAATGTTGATTATTGTTTCTGTGTTGGAATAGTTTGGTGGGTAATTTTAGGAATTTTATGAGGCTGAGTATTCTAGGAGGTTGCTCTTCGTTGTTTTCACTGTGTCAAATTTTGTATTTGCAAGTTTCTGTAAATGATAAGTTTTAATATATTTCTTTTTAAATGTTATCTTCCATTATTTCATTTTTTTTCCTTTTAATTTAAATCCTTTGTTTATGTATTTATCGTCTTATGATCTAGTCCATTTTGTTCAGAGAAAGGTATTTGCTTGGCATATGCGGGTGTCTGATATTCTTGAAATGTCAACTAGCTCCCGAAATGACATTGACTACCATTTTGATGTTGAGGAACTACTAGAGATTGGGACAAGATGCAGCGAGGTAGATTTTCATCTTTCTTAAAGCTGATGATGATGATGTGTTTTGTTGTATGTATGTTAAAGTATGATACTGTTGTAATGAACATGGTCCCAGGTCTCAAGAGTTCATGACAAGCTTTTGATTGCCGTAACGGCTGTTGGACATGCATATGTACAAAAATGTATGCTTGCATGATATTTGCCTATGACATTGCTTAAAAGAAATCATATTTCATATTGTTTATGTAACTAGCACCATGAGATGGTGGATTGGACAGCTTGAAAGTTTTTGAGACAATGAGGAAAACCCTTCTTCATTGTCCACTTGGAGGTTGGAGGATAAATTCAGTGAACTAACCAACAACCATTGTACAAAGCAAGTCACTGGTTTTATGGCTGGCTCGAACTCACACCCTTGAGATACTCCTTTTTCTTTTCCCTTTTTTGGGGGAAATTGTTATCAACTTTATTTGTGAAGAGAATGAACCTTCTCTTAGATGAGCTTTCCATTAGATGAAATAGTTTGTCAAAGGTTGTGGCTTGTCTTTATTATTTAGGTTCGTTTTATCTGTGGAAACGGTTTGGTGAAGATGTATGACTCAACTTTATTTCATTGGCTGTATCATATAACTAATTTCCTATCTACTACATTAGGCTTGCGATGATGTTCTTACTTTGATACTGTTGGAAGTTTAATTTGTTTGCTCTTAATACATCTTAATACAGCTACGAAAAGAAAAAGAGATGTTGAAAGAATCACAATCCCAGAGCTTTGAACTAATCAAGGTAAGTTTTGCAAACATGGTTATTTTTGTAATCTAAAACCTATTGTCTTGTATCTTTCATATTGTTTAAGCCCTAGAAAAGTATTTGTCAAGAACACATGAATATTGCTTGCTTCTTTCTTGTATTGGCATTTCAGTCCTGTTGTGGCAGTCATGTGTTTTTCAATTAGACTTCTGTATAGGTTTGATTAAATACTATGTTCACTTTTCCTTGCAAAAAAGAGAGAAAAAAGCCCATTAATAAGCAATGTGGATGTGAGGAGAGGAGATTGGAGAGTACTGAACTTCATTTGGTTTTGAGTCTTCATCTTTTGCTTTAAATTTTCATAAGCAATCACATCCAGTACATTGCTGGCTTCCTAAGCCACTTAGTGTCTTGCACTTTTCCTTGACTGTGAAGAGAAGAATTTTAGTTCATTTACTACCAAATTGAATCAGAACAATCAAAGATAGAAAAACTGAAAAAGAATTAACTAGGGGTCTGAATCTTTCTTATGGATCCTATATTCTTCCCCAACTAAGTGCATTCTGGTATGCCATAAGAAGCTAAAACCTCAGTACAAGGAAAGGGGGATAAAATGTAGCATTAAGGGTTTAGTATTTCAATCTGTGGTGCAGAATACAAGTTTGATTTGGTTTTGATGCAGAGACTAGAACAACATGTGAGATCATTATCAGAAGCCCATACCCAAGACAAGAAACATATTCAGAAGTTGGAAACGGAGTTGATGAACTGTTCACAAGAAATAGGTAAGGATTCAAATTCTTGTTCTGTTGTGTGTTGTGGTTTTTACTTATTTACTTGATCTAATTCCCCTTCTCATTCCAGCAGCTCCTTCTTTTTATCTGTTATTTGTAATTCCTTTTTCAAATTTCATATATTATGTTGCTTGTAAACCAAGGTGTCTTTAACTCTTAATACCTGATTGAGTTCTGTATTTCTGTTCATAATAATGCCTTGCTTTGTTTATTTCATTTTTTCAACTTTGGCTGAGACTTTCTTTTCTTCCCTTCCTTTAGAGAAACTGATTATTTACCTTCAGTGAGCTCTCCTTTGATTGCATTGTAATCGCCCTTTAGATATGTATGTACCAAAAGAAAAATTAGCCTTTTATTCTCTAATTGCTGCTTCCAGGCAGCTTAGTAATTAGTTGAAAAGTTCAATTGTAGTAGTGTGGTTCTTTTCTAATTGGAAGTTTTTTCAATTGGTGTAGTCTAATATCTGGTATTTCTGAGAACTGATGATGCAGAATGGGATAGGTTTTTTTACTCTTCATCTTCCCATAATGGGTTGACTTTAAAATAGCTCATATTTATGATATTTATAATTTGTAAGTTGTAATCTTGACCAAATAATGAATGTCCTTCTAGTTCTCTTTTGTGGCTGTGGTTTAATGATTGCTGGCATTGTTGACTCAAGTGTCTTTTCAACTTCTTTTGATTTTTCCTTTTAATGTCATTCTTCAGATTACTTGCAGGATCAACTAAATGCAAGTAATGCAGAGATTATCTGTCTAAGTGAGCATGCACACAACCTTGAATTAAAATTATCAGACATGGACAGTTTACAGGAGCAGGTAGAGCGGTTGAGGGAGGAGTTGAGGAGGTCCAATTCTGACCGAGTATTAATGATGCAACAAATAGAGAGCAAAGAATTTGAGTTGCAAAACTCAGCCTTGTGCATAGAGAAATTGGAGGAGTCGATTTCATCCATTGCACTGGATTCCCAGTGTGAAATAGAGAGCATGAAGCTTGATTTAATGTCCATGGAGCACAATTTCTTTGAAGCTAAGAAAATCCAGGAGGAAAATGCTCAAGAAAAGGCTCAGATGAGTCTTTTCATTGAAGAGCTTGATGTTCAGGTTCAGAATGCCCAAGAAATTATAAAAAATTTAGATAAGGAAAATAAAGAGCTAAGAGAAAAGGTTTTTAAATATGAAAAGAAAGCTGGTGTTTTTTGTCAGAAGATCAGTGAATGGCTGGAAGGCAATGATAGATCACAATTTAATGTGCAGTCTTTCTTAAAGGAACTGGAGACAAAGCTTACATTAGAAGATATGAGGTTAGTTGCAAGCCAAAATTTCTTACAGTTTTCCTTCAAGTTACAAGGTTATCATATGTCATCAAATATTGTTGGGCTGTGTGATGATGGAAGGAATAAACCTTTCATTCAGCTCCTACATGTGTTTACTGTTGAGTATTTAATATATTCTTTTCCCACAAACTTGTTTTAAACTATCTGATTTAATGGTCCTAAATTATTGGGGCATATTCCTCTGAGGGTTAAGGATATATTTTCCAGGACTAGTAGAAATAACCCTGTAAAGCTTGTTGGTGTAGGTTTTGTTTCCTTAAATTGGCAGATCTACATTCTTCTTTTAGTACCAAGCAAGGTTTAATATTTAGACAAGTTTCAATTTTAATGAACTAGTAACATATAGTAGTAATTTTGAAGTGTCTCTGGAGAAGCATCTGTTGTATTTTCCGAAGCATCATCTGTACCAGCTTCAGATGGAGATTTTAAGGAAAAGATAGAGAGCATGCCACAACAGATACATGAATATAAAGTTATAGTGAAGCAGCTTAAGGTGAGTTTTGACTTAGTTTTGCATTTTTATCACCCCAGTCCCTGTATTTAAATTACTATAAAAAAAGTGTATATGAAGCAGACAAGTCATCTTGGTTCTTGTCCTTCTGAGTTTCTGAGGTTTCATTGCTCGAATAACTAGTTGAAGCTGGAAATCTTTATTAGGAAGAACTGAGGGAGGAAAGATTGAAGGCAAAGGAAGAAGCAGAGGACCTTGCACAGGAAATGGCTGAACTAAGGTATCAGATGACGTGTTTGCTTGAAGAAGAACGCAAACGCCGTGCTTGCATTGAACAAGCGTCTTTACAAAGAATAGCTGAGTTGGAGGCACAGGTAATAGTGTTATCCCATGCAATATTTTTGTTATTAAGGATTGATGAACAAATTTTACTTAAATGCTAAAGAAGATTTACAATGTTCTTTTTTTGTGAAGATTCAAAATGAACCACAAAGATCTTTGGCTGTTGTTAGATGTCACCATCAAACATAGTATTTGCTGCACTAGGATTTGGCAAGGTCAACCAATTCAAAAATTTTGGTATGATTTTGTGCTTCATAAGTCTTAGTTTTCTTCTTCCTTTTATTTGCTCTTGGACAGTTTGCCTTTTTCTAATGTCCTGTATGAATGATAATGCAACTTCCTCAAGCATTCAATTGCTGCAAGATTCATGTGCTTTTTTTTGGCCAACCAAATCAGGCAGATTCATGTGCTGAAGCTGCACTTTTTACATTTCTTTGGTATGAATATGCATTGATAATTTTTCAAGCATGCTTCTTGCCTTACTCTGAGTGGACTATATGGGGTGCTATAAATAGGATTTGGGGAAATTTATACTTGCCTTCCTTGTAGTTGTAGTTTGGGGAGGGTGAACTCTGCCTCCTGACTTGTGAAATGTTTTAAGTTGTTTTTCATTTAAGAATTAATGGTGAGACTGCCTATGTTTCGTAAAGTGAAGGCTCAGAAGGGGTTAGTTATGCTCACCTTTTTGTAAGTGAAGGGGCAAAGGTGCACCTGACCCAAACCACAAGGGTGGAAAGGGCAATTTGCCCCAGCATTTATTTCATTTGTGGCACTATATCCGTTTCTTTTGGTGGCTGAGTCATAAATCATGATACATGTAAAGCAACGTGCATCATGCATTGATGAAGAAACAAGCAAGTTGTTGTCTGTTGCTTCTGATTTCCAAACTCGTATGCAGTAGGTTGATTTCCAAACTCATATGCAATAGCGCTCGCCTTTGAAGTCAATAAAGTGTTAATCCAAATATCTTCTATTGTCCATTTTTCTCATGTCCTCTTCAGGTGCCTGGTCAATGCTGTGGCGTGCTTGTTAATATTTCTGGCAGATTCCAGTAATGGGTTGTGATGTGTGATTTTTCTCAAGGGATATCTTGCAGCGAACAGAAACATGGTCTAATGGTGGATGTAGATGTATATATTTTGCATCAACAGAGAGTTTGAAGGATGAAATTATGAGGTGGCCACATGTACCAGGTTGAACTAAGTTTCGTTCTTCCTCTTCTTTAGTAGATAGGTTCACATTGAGATTAGAGTTTTACATATTTGATAAAGGTTGTGAGGGTGCATTTGAAGATTGCAAACTGTAAAGTAGATCTGCCAAACAAAGCATGTTTTGCAGTAGAATTTCTCTTGGACTTCATTCTTTGTAAGATGAAGACATGGATGTATAGAATTAACTCTGTAATTAGATTGAAAGGATAAGTTTTAAGTTTTGACTATTCAACTACCAGACAGACTCACATACATTAGTTATTCGGTTCCATTTGAGGTAATGGAGTCATGACTATGAGCACTGTATCTTTTGTTCTCTTCCCGAAGTATCAATGACTGAGTCATGACAATGCTTTGGCCTCAATTTTCCAGGTTTTGGTTTCATTCCGCAGCTAACCTTCCACGAAATTTCCTAGACAGTTTCTGTTGACAAGAAGGGAAGCATTGTGTACACAATGTCCTATTAAAAGTTACATCTGTCAGTTGGGTATCTTCCCTTTTTTTTTTTCTTTTTTCTTTTTCATTTTGAAAGGGTGAAGAAATTTAAGTAGCTTAACAACATTTGTCCCAATTTTATCCCTAAAAATTGTAAAAATTGTCAGTGATGAATACTCACAACAGTTACATGATATCAAATGCACTTGGGTTAGTAGGCCTGTTTGTTGGAACCAACTCCAAGAGCTGGGTTCAATTCCCATCCCCACACCCACCCTCAACAAGTATAGTTATTTGAAAAATGAAAATCACAAGCTGTCAAATTAGTATATATAATAATTCAGATATCTAATCAAATAATAGATTACCTTGTAAAGTACTTAGTTCTTCAAATCAAGTGGTCTCTGGTCACATTACGGTGCACTCTTCTCCCTCTTTGGGCCTGTTTGAGCCCATCCCATGACCCATTGTTCAAAAAAAAAAAAAGATTACCTTGTAAGATTCATTTTATTGTTATAAAAAATACAAACAAATCACTTTTATAAAAACATAAACATGCCAAAGGACAACATGCTATTTCTTATGAAGGGGGAAAGCTGATTTCAAGCAAATCCAATTTGTCGAGGCCTAAAGTCTAAACTGTATGAAGAAATTTTTTTTGATGTGAACTCTATGAAGAATTTGTCGAGCCCAACTTGACTAAAAACATGGACAAAATATGATCTTACCGTATTTATTTTATTTTTTAAAAATTGAGGCCAACATACAATCAAATTAGTTCTCTTGAATTTGTCTTTATCGAGTCTTTTAATTAGTTTATTTACATTTATGTATTTATTTCACATAATTAAAAAACTATTTATATTTATTTTTCTGATAAAACTCTGTCATTGGCCGAAAAACAAAAAATTCAAATCTGCTGCCGGCATATATTAGCATGGAAGTAGTTTCAATTATGGGTCAAGCTGCAAATGGAGAAATTTCATTTCTTTGTATTTTTCTTCATTTTTTTTTTCTTGCATAAAAAAGTTTCAATGAAACTTTAATCAAGTGAGATCTTTCTAGTTAATTAAATCATTAAAAATGTGTCATGAAGTCTAGACTAATTAATCTAATATAGTTTAAATTGCAAAATAAGAAACTTTTAAATTATAATCCTAACTTTGATAAAGTAGTTTAGGCCAATCCACTAGTCATGTTTATTTCAAGAAAAAACATTTGTCGAAAATGTTTATTAATAATAAAAATATTACTCCCTTAATTTAAATTTAATAGATTTAATTTAATTTTTTTTTTTACTTTTTATACATAAATTTTAGATTAAAATTTAACATATTATATACGTAATAATTGAAAATTTTTAATTAAGTAAAAATACTTAATAAGAATTACATATTAAAAATTTTCAATTATTAATTTTATAAATTATTAAATTTTTATATAAAATATATGTCTAAAAAATAAAAGAAATTAAAATAAAACTACCATATTTAAGCTGATAAAGTATAATATAGTATGATATAATTTTTTATTAACACTTTTGATTTAAGTAAAATATGTAGATCATTATGAATAAATTCTCATAATATTGTAAAATTTGCATTGAATCTTCGTTGTTAAAACATCAAAACTCTTAAGATACAATGAAATTTGATGATTAACTTTAAGCATAAATTATCTATCCTTCTAGATGGATTTGATTAGAAGCTATAAAGGAGAAAGCGAACCTAATTTGAGTCAAAGCGGTGGGCGCATCACCAGTTCTATATTTGATTCGTTCAACCGAAGAAAAAGTAAACCCTATCTGCAATCATAATCGATTTACGTCAATATATATTATTGA